ACTGGTGCGTCAAAGTTACGTCTCATTTCAACTGCGTTTTCTATTTATGCCAGTGTTTACAAACAACCGGGATTTTAATATCAAATTCAGCTTAATTATTCCAATTTTTTAATTTAATTAGTCGCCTCTACCATAAACACCAGACAGAAGCCTTAATCCAAACAGTAAGTAAAGTAAAAGTATCCCTGTAACGGCGAACTCGAGGGATACGAGCGAAAGTATCAAAATATTTGATCTCGTCAACCGCTTCTCTCACCACACCGCTCCACAGCCACCTAGGGCACTTCCGTATACACAGCCACTTTAATACTTGCTCGTGGGCCGCAACTCACTCACTGCTCGCATTTGTCGTAGAACGACAAGTTACGTAGGTCATACTGTCGAAATCACCCAGCCAGATCCAGTGATTACATTACCCTCTTTAATAAAACCACAGGCTGATGTTGCGTCAATATCAGGAAACGGAAAGTGCAGTGAAGAGTCGGCATGCACTGGCCATGGAAACCATAAACATGGAAGTGAGAGCTGCTAAGTCTATTGCCGATTTCAGTGCTTCCAGCACAGCTTTCTGAGTAAACTAAGTCTGTCTTGCATTTAACTTACTCTTGTACACGTATATCTTACTAGCAAGAAGCATCTATTACACTAAGTTTAAAGTGGCGGGGCATGGACGGCAGAGGAATCAGGGTTCTATTGCCGGGACGGGAAAGAGATATTCATCTTCTCCACCGCGCCCAGATAGCTCTGGGGCTCAGTCTCCTGCACTATGAGTATTGGAGGCTCTTTCCCCAGGGGCAAAATTAGCAGGGCGTCCAGCTGACCGCTCACCTCCATCTAGTGCCGAGATTATGAATGGTGGAGCTATACTCCCACTCCCCCATATATCTTTATGGCTTAATTAATTAAGCCCAGGGGTAATTTTACATATATTTTTAGATTGAGAAATCATATTAATTTGCAAACGGCCAGCTCTCCTTACCGTGGTTGCATATCTTGTCCATTGGTATTTCATGTTCTGGTTCCATGTACACACTTAGTTTATCCTTCCCACAATCGCAACACGGAAGCATGGTTGACATTTTTGTCTCTCCATACAAACAAAAGCCTCTTTATCCATTAGTTCTTATACTATGCTCTAATGAAGAGAAGGCGAGGAATTGCCAAGGACAGCTCAGATGTATTATGATAACTAAAAACACTGATATAAGCTTTGGAAGACTCCAACTCCTGCCATTGGCACACTGAAGCTCAACAGTTGTCTTGCCTTCTCTTCGTTGGAGGATACTATATAATTACCGAGCAACTTTCTGTTACTTCTTTACGATCGATAAATCGACATCTTACGATCCACTAAATGATACATCCTCATGGAGTTCAATTGGCATAGACCTGCAGTATTTTTCACGTCTGACTGATCGTTAAGATTCGTAAGATGAATTACCTCTTCCATGTTCACTTCATTTGATGTTAAATGCGTAATGTACACACTGGTCTTAGGATCTGGCAGAGACTGTAGAGTGATTAAAGACGCAAAATGGGAACTTACAACACACTTTGCTGTCCGCTTGTCACTTTCTTAGTTGGGCGAGTTTCGGTGGACCCACATGTGGCCAACACAAACAAGCTTCGCTGTCTCGTTGTGTGGGATGGGCACTGAATAGTTTCATAAAGCCATAAAGTCGGGCTCCATACAGGTCCATATGAAATGCACTGTAGTGGTGGAGGTCGGTGAGGGCTTTATATCAACTGCGGTATAAATCGATTGAGCCACTACAGGCAGCAGGCAATATCAATTTCTCCCCCTTCCCTTGATCCCGGGGTCCGGAATTATCGTCAACTGTCAACGGGGAGCGGCGGGTGCTATTGTCAGCTATCCAGGGAGTCCGCCCTAGGAGACCGTGGTTCGGTCATGTTCAGCTACATACCGTCAAAGCCGTCTGCATTGCCACCAGATTAACTTTTAGTTCTTAACAGTTGCTGCAATGGTTCGGAAGCCAATCGGTGGTTATTTCCGGTAAAAATAATAATGGTTTCAGTTATTCCTTGCTAAAGTTCAGTTCAGGTAACCATCTCTAAGCCACTGTAATTAAAGTTTAACTTCACAGCCGTGACAGGTGTATTCAGGTTTCGAAAGCAGGAATTATCCAGATAAGACCCTTATGCTCGGAATTACTGGGATTTTGGGCTTTGTCAATTGCCAAGTGTTCTAGAAACCATAAAAAACAACGTTTCGGAAATTGGATCTGTTTCCGTCCTCGGGTGAGGAGATGGAGGCGCCTACTATACTCAATCCATTAGAAGAGATCCTAAAACGACTTAATAAAGTAGGTGATTTACCCTCACATGAAGACGGAAACAGATCCAGCGTCCGAAACGTTGTGTTCTCTAATTTTTTAGAGTATCGGACTACGGAAGATGTCCACAAATCCAGCAGTTCAGACTGTCATACACTATCGTCAGAACCCTTAAGAATATGCATTCTTAATGTTTTGTATTCTTCACTTATCCAAAATATTCACTCGTTATAGATGAAAATTTCTGTTGACAAATTGAATCAACAATACAGACAGTACCAGGGGCGGCCCGCGTATAGGCACTGCGGAACTGCAGGACCCCCAATTTCCACTTGATATTATCGGTAACATTTATGTAACGAGTCCTTTTTTCTTTAATTCTTACGTTACACTTGTACAATAAAATATATAATCCTTAAGCTTAATGTCAGTAGCCAAATCTTTGTATGGAACTGTGAGTTTCACAGTTCAAGCGGCGAGGTGTTCGTTGACTGTGCGCATGCGCACATAGGAAGCTACACGCGACGCTGCAAGGGAGAGGGAGCACTGCAGGAACGACAGTGCCGACCGGTGCCGACACCGGCGTGTTGGTGGAAGGTAGTTTTTTTTTTACACCGCGTGTGTTGTGCTTAAAAAATATGAGTTAATTGTAGAATTAAATTATTATCCTGCTTCCAGCTATTCTATTTGATTCAGTTTTTTTCGGTTCTTTTATTTAACAGAAAAGTTTAACCATGACGTTGCATCCCCGAGAAATAATTTCTGTGACTCTAACTGAACTTCAACAGCTTAAGTTTTCACGACTGTCTTCCCTTGAGAAAGTTGCAGTTAAGAAAGAGGTCGTTTAACATCTGATATTCTAATATCTCAGCCAGGCATCAGCAAGAACAAGAAATATATTCGTAGATTTAATTCTGAATGGTACCAACGGAAAAGTTGGCTTTGTGGCTGTGAAGTAAAAAATACACTGTTTTGCACCCCGTATTTGCTGTTTAGGGGTGATGTAACGTGGACAAAAGATGGTTATAGAAATATAAAAAAAACGAAAGAAAAAATTGAAAAGCATGAGAAGTCAAAGAAGCACGTTAATAATGTAGTTTCACTGTCACTTTTGGAACAGTAAGTATTAAGGAGAAACTTAGTGAGGCATAGAGACTTTCAATCGATGAGCATAAAATAAAGGTTAAAGAGAATGGATTTCATTTTTAAATGAATAGATTAAGATTGAATTGTAACAATTATGCTTAAAGTAAATAAAAAATTTCTGATTTTGTTCTTTTAGGGTTTTAACAAGTTTCTGAATAAATTTTCTTTTTAAAAAGTTTGTTTCCTTTTATACGATTTCAAAACAAAGACTACAAATTTCTGGAGCAGCATCCCCACTAATTTTAGCTACGAGCAGCGACTGGACAGTACAATCTGAACCTAAGAAAATATCCTTCAACAATGTCATAAGCATTAAACCAAGAAACAAACATATCTCTATATATGTTCTAGACTAGAATAAATTAAAAAAAATATTTCAATTACAAGAATGTTAGCTGTAAAAACTCGTACTTTCCTGTAAAAATGTGATTATTAAGCAGTTTAATAGATGGAAATAAAATAAATCCCTCATGCTGTATACGATCTGCTAGCACATGTAAGCCTGGAAGATCAGTTGCCAAGAATGCATTCACTTGTCTATCACACCGAAATACTTACAAATCACTTTGCATCATTCTTCATGGTATAGCACATACACTACACACCACTGTGCACATTTTATACTCCCACTGAACAGGACTGCCAGCATTACACCTATGAAAACATGTCTTTCACTTAGCATATCTCCTTGTTATAAGCAACATTTCTCCATTCAAACAAGATATGTACATAAAAGTGGAGACTTTCGAAACCATTCTCAAACACTATAAAATCTCACTACACATCACTGTATTAATCACACACAAAAATATAACGTCACACTAAAGAATTTAACTTCGCTTTACACTCGACATTATTGTGACCAATACAACATACATTATACCCACCACACTATCACACAGAACTAAGATATAAATTCAAAAACTAAATTCTTCGATGGGAACTACATTCACTTTACACCCTCTTCTTACAAGTACTTATACTAATGCAAAAGAGATGTATATCATTCTCACTAATAACCTACTCACACCTGTCATATTCAGAGGCTACATACCAAAACTACACCCTCTTTTCTGTCATACTAAATATGCACTCATAAAATCTAATTCACTCTCTATCCATATAACCACTAAAACACATTTTGTGCAAATCACTGTACATACTTCGCACGAGATTATTAATAATACTGAAATAATAACCTCAAAGACACATTGTCTTTCACTACACACACACTTTCTTTCGTTAAATCAATAAATGTAGGTTTTGGTGTATTCTTCCTTCACACACACACACTTCACTTTCAGTTCACAAGGGAAACACTTCGATGTCCTTGTGGAACAGAGGAAACACAAGTTTGTAACATTTGGTACACTCGCCATTACTCGGTCCAGGACAATACACACACTAAAGCCTACCATTTGCACTATATCACTGAATCATTTAAGATTTACTTTCAAGCAGATAATTAATCACAACTGGAACATATATGTACAAAAACACACACACATATCACCCTCTTATTAGTTATAAACTCATCTTCATACCAGGAAACAAACCTACCTTCGTGTTCTACACCGGATATTAAGGTCACAGTGACAGGGCAGCCAACCGCTTAACATGACTGAAACAGAAATATTCCATCATCAGTTCCGTTACAGGAAGGCAATTTTCACCCTATTTTTACCCACATTCGTGAGTAATTCATATTCTACTTCCAAACAGGCAGGGAAATTCGGGAGAAACATATGCCACGCAGTCACTCAATTGTTCTCGTATCCTTCCAGGACAAAGTAGGGAACGACTTCACTGATAATAAAGATTTTTCGTCATAACGTTATGCCACTGGAGGGCAGCAAAATGCCATAATATGTAATATTCAGTAGTCAATTGTATCACCGTGGGGCATTCGCAAACTCGTGAGGTGGGAGCGGCGTTTTCGACACAATCTAAGTTATCACGTAGCAATATAGCATCGGAATATAAGAGCACAGATTGATATTATGGGTGGAAACACAGTACACACCATCAACTTTATACATAACATCATATCTCGAATAATATTCCATGTTACGACATTCCTATATTACGTTCGTTGAAATAGCAGCTTCGTAAATGACGTCACTCTAAGGTGTGTGCAATAAACTACTGCGCATCCAGCTGTAACTCAGGGGGTACCCTTGGGTACGATTCGCTGACGTTAGGTTAGGTTAGGTTAGGTTAGGTTAGGTTAGGTTAGGTTTGCGCAGTAGACTACTGCGCATCCATCTATTTCTTGGAGGGGTCGAAGCTCGGTAATTTACACTAATGTTAGGTTGTGAGAGTACATTATGATAGGTGTGCGCAAATAACTACTGCGCATAATTATGGTATGTTGAGCACGGGTTAGCCGTCCCCAATTTCTTACCATTCCATGTATCTGATAGCGTATGAAATCATTATTTATTTATATGGGTCATTTTATTTCCGAATTTTCACACATGGTAGACTCCTGCATATACTTTTCTGTTATTCTAACTACGTAATCTATGAAACCTGGCATATATTTCGATATTTATAAATGACGTAAGTATATTTTTCCGAAATATTGACATTGCAGAACGCTCCCAAGTCCATTATATCACAATTATATGGATTGACTCTTACAATTTCCAACAGATCCCGAAATATTCTCTTTTAAATTGTTTCCATTATTATTAACTTTATTACGTTTTTCGACATATGTGAAGAATATACATATAATCCATATCAAAGGTATCCACCCCACAATAGTAGTGCTCAAATATTCGATAGGGAAATCACTGATTACGATCTGAAGCTAAGAAAATATTCTTCAACCATCTTCTAAGCATTAAAAAACTAACACATCACTATTTATTTTCTATAAAAACCTATAAAATACAATTACAAGAATGTTAGCTTTTATAGGTCGTGCTTTCCTGTAAGGAATGTGATTCTATAAGGAGTTTAATTCTCTCTGTGTATTTTATAAAACCTTGAATATACGTGTATTACGTTATTCCTAACGTTCTTAAATACATTTTTTTCGATATATTGACTTTTAAGAACGCTGTCACGTGTATGAAATCATAATTATCTTGATTGACTCTTACAATTTTCAACATTTCCGCAAATATTCTCTTTTCCAATGTAGCCGTTATTCATTTTAATATGTTTTTCGACAGAAGTAAAATATATAAATATTCTTCATATAAAATGTATCCACTCCACCCTACTAGCGCTCAAATATTAAATAGGGAAATAGCTGATTACGATCTGGACCTAAGGAAAAAATGTATTCAATTCTCTTCAAAATATTATTACACAAAACGAACACTTCAATATTTGTTCTAGACTAAACTATAAAATGCAATTGCAAGAATGTCATCAGTCACAACTCGTGCTTTCCAGTACACTATGTGATTATGTAAGGACTTTAATAGATGGAAAGAAAATAATTCCTTAATGCTCTACACTACCTGCTCACACATGTAAGCCTGGAAGATTAGATGGCAAGAATGCATTCCCTCTCCTATCACACCAAAATACACTTCTAACATAGAAATCACTTGCAAACTTTCTTCATTCTATAATACACACTCTACACCCCACTGTACACATTTTACACAATAACAATGAATAGGATTCCGAGCATAACACCAGTGACAACATCTGATTCACTTCGCATACCACCCTGTTATAAGCATGTATTCTTCATCCAAAAACATTTGAACATAACATGGGAAACTTTTGAATCCATGGAGGGGGAATGGAAATCTTAATATTCTTTATAACATTACTACACCACACTAAACATCACTGTACATATTACAAAAAATAAAATCACGTTAGCGAACTTGAACTTCACTATACACTCGATATTATTGTGACCAAGACAACATATATTATACCCACCACTCTCTCTGTCACACAGAACTAAGATATAAATTCAACATTAACCTCTTCAATGGGAACTAGCACTTCACTTTGGACCCTCTTCTTACAAGGATTTACAATAATACAAAAGGAAACATACATATATCATTCTGACTGAGAAAATACTCACACGTGTAATATTCAGAGGCTACATACCAAAACTACATCGTGTTTTCTGTCATACCGAATATGCACTCATAAATTCTAATTCACTTTCTATCCATATAAACACTATTACATATTTTGTGCAAATCGCTTTACATTTTTCAAACGAAATTATGAATAAGAGTGCAGGTATAACCGCAATGACACATTGCCCTTCACTACACACCCACTATTCTAATATGACCTTACTTCCGTTAGCTCAATAAATGTACGTAATTGTGTATTCTTCCTTCACGTACACGTCTGTTTCATGGTTCAGAGGGAAAACAGGTTTACTTGTGGAACAGAGGAAACACATATTGTAAAATTTTATGCACTCGCCATTATTCGGCACATTAAAGCTTAAAATTTTGAACTGTTACACTGAATCTTTTAAGATGTAATTCAGGCAGATAATTAATCAGAACTTGTACATATGTGTGTATAAACACACACACAACACCGCCTTATTATTCATCTATATCTCTCCATAACAGGAAGGAAACGTACCTTCATGTTGTACACCGGATATTTAGGTCACAGTCACATGGCAGCCAACCTTTTAACATGACTGAAACAGAAATATTCGATTATCAGATAGATTACAAGATGGTAATTTTTCACGCTATTTTTATACACATTTTTGTTTATATTATCGTCCTGCTTTCTATACAGGAGGGAAATAAGGGCGACACAATTGCGAAGCAGTCAGTGAACTGATCGCGTATCCATACACGAGAAAGTAGTAAAGGAACTCACTGATAATAACGATTTCTCGTCGTAAAGTTATGCCATTAGAAGGCAAAATAACGGCACAATATATAATATTCAGTAATCATTTGTATCATCGTGAAGATGCGCAAACTCGTGAGGTTGGAGCGCACTTTTCGTCACATTCTAAGCTATAGTGTAGCAATAAAATCTCAGAATATACAAACATAGATTAAGATTATGGTCTGAAAAACAGTCAACACACTCTATTTTATATATAACGTCATGTTTCGATTTATATTCGATGTTACGACAGTTCTAGATCACGTTCGGTTAAATAGCCGCTTCGTAAATGACGTCATTGTTACGTGTGCGCAATGGACTACTGCGCATCCATCTTTACCTCAAGGGGGCTGGTCCTTGGGTACTATTCATTGATGTTAGGTTAGGGGACGTTAGGTTAGGTTAGGTTAGGTTAGGTTTGCGCAGGCATCTAGTGCGCATCCGTCTGTAAGTCAGGAGACTGGCCTTTGGGTACCATTCGCTGATATTAGGTTTGGGTAGGTTAGGTTAGGTTAGGTTAGGGCAGTGGGCATTCATCTGTCCCTTTCAGGTGTCGAAGCTCGGCAAGTTGCGCTGGTGTCAGGTTGTGAGCGTAGATTATGATAGGTTTGCACAACTGACCACTGCGCTTCGTTATGATCAGTTGAGCAAGTTTTGGCCGTCGGAATTATCTTACAACTGAATATGTTTGATAGCGTATGAAATCACTATATATTTAGAAGGGACATTTTATTTCTGAATTTTCTCACATGATAAATTGTTGCATATATTTTTCTTAAAACTCTCTACGTATTCTATGAAACCTGGAATATATTACGTTATTCCTAACGTTATTAAATACATTTTTTTCGAAATACTGACCTTTCAGAACGCTCTCACGTGCATGATATCACAATTATCTTGATTGACTCTTACAACTTTCACCATTTCCGCAAATATTCTCTTTTCTAATGTACCTAATGTTAACTTTATTACGCTTTTCGACATATGCGAAGCATATACATATACTTTATATAAAAGGTTTCCACTCCACATTACTAGTGCTCAAATATTAAATTCGGAAATCGCTGATAACGATCTGGACCTAAGGAAAAAAATGCATTCAACGCTCTTCAAAACATTATTACACAAAACGAACAATTCAAAATGTGTTCTAGACTAAACAAAACAAAAATTCAATTACAAGAATACATATATCATTCTGATTGATAACATAGCTCAATCGATATAGGAACTTGGCTACAGATTGTACAACCGAGGAAGCAGAGTCTGACTCTCGGTAAGGTTAAGATATCTTCCTTTTCTTCACAAGGTCCAGACTGACTCTGCCCTCATCATTCCTAATGGGTACTGGGGTCTGCTTCATAGGCGGTATGAAGACGGCCACTGAATTCCATACGGTGCAGAAATTAAGAACTGCAGCGCTATACCTCTACTCCCCCATGCCGGTTTCACAGCGAGATAGTTAATTAAGCAGAGACACAGCTTTGTCTCTTACATAACCTATAGGCTAGAAGTTTGTATACAAGCAAGACGTGTGTACCGGATTTATATTAAATTTACAATTGTCTGTTGCAACATGAGTTGGATCTGAGAAGCCAATTTCTCCAGTCTGAAAGGAAAAGGTAAAGACTTGCCGAAACATATCATTCCCTAGTTATCTCTGACGAGTCACGGTGATGGGTCCATCACCACCAAGTCCCAGAAGACGTACTGCAGTCACCACCGTGACATCAAGTATCACTTGCCTAGCGAGACAATCACCCCTCCCGCAGGCCTACTGTACTGTCAGTTGTTTCGATCACTATTTATTGTGTGGTTTATAAACGAAGCTCGTGCTGAACAAATTCATTTAAGGTTCTCGATGCTTCGGATACCACTAAAATTAATTTTCATTACAAAAATTACCTTTGTAATTCTATTCGAAAAGCCTGGAACCTCTTATACAGCAATGCAGATAACCCCGGAAATTTAGACCTGAAACTATCTACTGACTGTAGGGGCCGCACCATAGCTCAAGCGGTTAGTCGCTGGCTTCCCACCGCGGCGGCCCGTGTTCGATCCCGAGTCGGGTCAAGTGGGATTTGTGGTGGACAAAGTGGCGCTGGGGCAGGTTTTCTCCGAGTACTTCGGTTTCCCCTGCCAATCTTCATTCCACCAACTGCTCCACAATCACCCTCATCTATCATCTGGGACTGGTACAATAGGCCAGAAATGGCCGCAGTACAAGGGACTTAGTCCCAACCCACTAGCAATAATAAAAATCTACCGACTGTATATGGATTAAGTAACTGAAAAGGCGGGCAAGGTCCACAAGGACTGGAGGTAGGTAGGTAGGTAGGTAGGTAGGTAGGTAGGTAGGTAGGTAGGTAGGTAGGTAGGTGGGTGTGTGGGTAGGTAGGTAGGTAGGTAGGTAGATAGGTAGATAGATAGATAGATAGATAGATAGATAGATAGATAGATAGATAGATAGATAGATAGATAGATAGATAGATAGATAGATAGATAGAGAAGGCCGAGAAACGTTCATGTGTCATGCAACTCGCAATGCTGTATGTAGGAGAAATGCTGAACGTCCCATCACACCACTTAAAGTACGTGCTTCTTAGTTTGTATAGATTCTTATCATGGGTTATGCTATATTTCTATTTGCATTAAACTACCTACAGTCGAATGGTATGATGACTGATTAATGGCGAATTTGAAGATATTTTGAAGAAAGAGATGGTATGCTGATCAAGATATTAGTCAATGATTTATCTAAAGGCACTAAGGAAAACCACGAGAACCCTCGATAAGAAACTATATTCTGGCAGAAATTCGAAAAAAGTACCTCTTGAATAACCATCTAAAGCTTCGCCCCGAGATCAATGTTTACAGCCTACATTTTCAACTGTGCAGGTCAGGTCTACATAGCATAAGATGATCTCCGCGATGCAATGAATAGATGTAGGACAAATGTAGCGACATATTTTAATATATGCTCCCCAAATTCGTCTTGGGGCATTCAGGAAAATCGCGAAAACAATCAGAACCTATAGTCAAAGCTGAGACCTCCAAAGACGAAACAGAAGTGCTAAACACTTTCATTAAATTGGGATAGTTGCACTATGATATTTCTGCTGAGTCAGTTCAGACACATGTCTGTTCGCTGATAGAACGCTACAATCTCACGCGATGGGGTTGCGCTGTGAACAAGCAGTCAGGTTGGGACAATACAAATCCTCGTTGATTCACTTAATTAGATTCCTTTTCCCTTCCTTTGCTGTTCGTGCTCAGCACAAAGAAGCCTTATATAGAAACGGCTACATTCAAAGTAAGGAAATGGCTACTAGGTGGTGTCAACGAACTTCCATAATGAGCATAAAAAGATACGACATTTAAAGGCAACTGTTACTTCGTCTAGACCTTTCATAAATCGTACAGAAACAGCAGGTAATCTTCCAGTGCCATGTGTTTACTGTCTCTCAGTTTGTGACTTGCCTAATCTTACTGAAAAAACGTAAAACTATCCCTGTAACAGGCCGTGGAGACCCATATGTTTTGAGACGTCAATGATTCCACGTTTTCTAGACAATCGGCTCCCAGATGGCGTTGAGGTTGTTAGCATTACGCTCCGGCCGCCTTTTACCCCCAGGTAAATTCCTGGTACTCATTTCTGTTAGAGGCTGAGTCGACCACAAGGCCAAAGTGCGGAAGGAAGGATGGGGTGAAATGAAAATTCCAGTGACATCACCGGGAATCGAACCCGCGATCTTCCGGCTTGTAGCATAGTACCTCAACCAACTACACTACAGCGTACCTCTTAATTTAACTGAACATTATTTACTTTTTGATTTGCTGTAGTAGATATAAAACAATAAAAAATACTGCATACGGAAGAACAAAACATATTGTCACGTGTAAGAGTGACTCTCGACGGGATTTAGGATTGAATATTGGATTCACTGACCACTGTAACACACGACTCGTAACTAGACTTAATTATAACGCCATTGCTGATTTCCATACCTTACAATTCACTAGATCACACACTAAGTCTTTTCTAGCCCGCAGTATCTTCACTGGGAGCTGCCTGGCAACAGCTCCAAAAACGGCTATTCCTCTGCTTGTGTGCTCAAGTCTTCTCTAAATTTCGGCTCCCTTCCACCTGAACTGGGCCGGAGTCAAATTTACTTTACGACTGGTGGTTTACCGCCAATCAGCTCATCTTAGCGCCAAGTTCTTCGAGAACCATGACCAGTATATTTTCAGCTAACATTTGCCGTTATAGTCGTAGTCCTTATGTAACATTCTCTCTAGAGGTTGGATCTGTCGTTTACAATTTGCTGCTGACCTCGCCAGCGCAGTCATTCTCGTGTCTGAGTCCTGCGGGACTCATGAACATATTTTACTGTCACAGACACGAGAATTCCCCAACCTGGAGGGCCAGGTCCCCGTATTTATATCCTTCAGGGACAGGGTGGTCCAGTTATAACCACAGTCACTGGGTTCCCTTTTCTTCGCCTTCTGAACTTAGTCAATGCCAGAAGTCAAAGTTACCTTACGACTGGCGGTTTATCGCCAATCACTTCATCTTGACGTAAAGCCCCTTGAGACTCACAACCAGTATTTTCTTAACCGAGACCTTGCACTAATAGTCCTTATTTAACATCATCTCTGAGGAGAAAATAGGGTTGTCTCTTATTAATATATTTGGCCATTCGTCAAATGTACGTATCGCACTTAAGGCATGTTATTTAAAAGTCTTCCTTTCGTGCTATATACAAGTCCTCTGTCAGTACAGGCTCTGCAAAG